CTAGGCCTGAGGGATACTACACGGCTGTGTCTACACTGGACCCCTTTTCCGGAAAAGAGATGCAGACGAGACAAGTCGGTATTGCAAATGAAGCGGGGATTTAAATTTTCCCCGCTTCATTTGTATAAACATGGCTGCCGCTTTTTTCCGGCTCGGGGCTTTGCCGGAAAAAAGCGCCAGTCTAGACGGGGATCTTTCGGAAAATAAAGCCTTTTCCGAAAGGTCCCTTATTCCTCTTAAAATCAGGAATAAGGGACCTTTCAGAAAAGGCTTTATTTTCCAAAAGATCACCGTCTAGACTGGCGCTTTTTTCCGGCAAAGCCCCGAGCCGGAAAAAAGCGGCAGCCATGTTTATACAAATGAAGCGGGGAAAATTTAAATCCCCGCTTCATTTGAAATACTGACTTGTCTCGTCTGCATCCCTTTTCCAGAAAAGGGGTCCAGTGTAGACACAGCCCACAGGTTTTGTATTTCCTGTAAAGTTTATGCAGACAAGGGCTTATCACTATGTACTCTTCAGGGACTTGGGAAGGGTAGAACTAAGGGCAACACAATCTCAGGTTGCCACAAGATGGAGGCAGGACCCAATAATGGATTGGTATTAAGGCCCCAATGTATACAGTGCCGGTGTTGTTTGTTTAATCTCATTTGCCAAAAGGAATGTATCTACTGGAGCTTGGCCAATTGTATGGTAAAATGATAAAGAACGATTGGAAAGACTTTGTTAATACAAATGCAGCAGTAAAAGCACCTGACTCAATTCAAATGCAAAGTCAATGAATCATATTTACCAGGGATGTAGCAGGATGGTTTGGGAGCCAGAGCATCAGCCTGACACCAGCTGGATTTGGAGACCTTGTAGGATCAACACAAGGACACCCTGAGCCCAATGAATGAGTAAAGGAAAGAACTTAGAAGTTTTTGATTAATAAGTGTCTATAGCGTGCCGTTAGTGTAAGGAAGTACATCACAAAGCGAATGGAATAGTTAAGTAAAACAATGAAGGTTATCAAAGCAGGGTGATGGCCAGGACCACACCATGTTCTATATCTGGAGCGAAGGTAGTTGGCAAAAACAAGCCACTCTCAGTGATACAGAATAAGGTAAACTGCCCATAGACCTACAGAGAAATTAAAAATGTGGTATGGGAAAGATCCGACTGATTGGTGTACAACAACAAAACCTCTCAAGGTTCCAATACCATGAAATGGATACAGGACACCATATTTCACCCATACCATCCATACCATCCATCCCAGTACTTGAAGGACATCAGGCCATTCAAACCATAGTTAAAATTCAACCACTAGGAATACCAGAAGATACTGCAACTCACAAGGTTAGAAAAGAGCTTGCTTCTCCTTCTCAAATACTGTTGCATGATAATGACAAAGTCTAGAAAGCCCCAGACTTGTCCTGTTGCTCACACCCACATATTCCTGTGTAATATCTTACAGAGAGAGTTGCTGGTGTGTGGGTTCACTCTTCAGGAGTGTGGTGGGACCACTGTCCTATACTGGCTGGAAGGGGTTAAAGCAGGCAGGAGGGAGCCTGCTCAGAGCTTTGGCCAAGCAGGGAGAGGCTTCTAAAGAGCCAACCAGAGGGTGGCTTGCTGAGGCAGCCCTGTATAAAAGGAGCTGCTCAGCAGAGCTTGAACAGTTGGGCCCTGGCAGATCCAGGTTCCCAGAGGAGCACCTTCGGGAGAGCAGTGGTGGGCAGGCTCAGGGGGGTTAGAGAGGAAAGCTCCTGCCTGAGACTTGCCATGCTGCTGGCCTTGCTACAAGGGCCAGGAGAATGGAAAGGGTCACAAGTGAAGTGGCCCAGGGAACTAGAGGCAGTAAAGGGATTAGAGAAGGGCAGGACAAAGCTACCGCCAGAGCTTAGAACCTGAAGCAGATAGAACCTGAGGCTGCAATTGGCCATGGTGGTAGGCACTAGGCTAAAGACTGCTGATAAACTGCTGGAAAGGGGCTGAGAGACCACTGTAGAGCACGCCATGGTCCAGGAGTGACATGGGTCCAGAGTGAGAGCGTGGAGCAAAGATGGATGAGACCTGGCCAGAAGTGGAAGCCCCTCTGAGTAAGGACTGATTCCCTGGAGCAACCAGTAGGAGGCGCTGTAGCAGAGAGTTGTGTCCCATGACATGGAGCAATCTCTAAATTGCACAGTACAGTTTAGATCAGGGCTACTCAACTTGGAAGCCTCATGGGCCGCAATGATACTCACAGCCCATGCCGAGGGCCACAACTTAAGTGTGGTTGCTTGTACATGCAAATCTATATGCAAATATATGCAAATAGCTTCTTTCATACTGGAGAGCATGAATACAAAGATTAAGGCAAGACTACACAACATACAGGTCCCATTTAAGTCAGTTCTGCTGATATTCACAAAATGCAATATTTACCTGATTTCCACCCATATGATAGTACTTTGAATGAGCAATGACAATCCAGAAATGTAACTACTAAAGCACATATCAACAGGAGACCATTCTATTAACTTGCCATTATGGAGTGTGTTCCCAGTGGAGGTCATGTTCAAAGGATCCCACCCGGGGGGCCGTGGGTTGAACCTCTTGTAAACCCAAACCGCACTGTGGGCTGCAGACAAACAGGCTGCAGGCAGCATGTGGCTCACGGCCATGTGTTGAGTAGCCCTGGTTTAGATGCTAAGGAATTTTTTAAAAAGCGCTTCTTCTGGGAATGGTAAATATTGCGTGGTGGCTGGAAATAACCATTGTTGGTGTAGATCCAAATATTATCATCTTTGGCCAATGTTTTGTTTCCCACCAAAATTAAATGGAAAGACTTTGCACCATATACCCATTTTCCATAATGTAACTGAATGGCAGGTTGAATTCAGATGATAGGAGGATGTTTTAAAAGCAATACCCAAGTCTGGGCATTCTATTCCTCCCTGGAACAGAGTATTTGGGAATTAACTATTCCCACATGGTGGGAACAAACATATGAGGTGGAATTACATCCAAGAAAATTGGTGTTCAAAGCTGTGGCAATTATCCACATGATTGTGATCACTGTAATTTGCATTTTGTACTCTCAGGTTTGTTAATTGTACAAGATATTGCAAAATTATAGATGTATGTTTAAAATGCTTAATGTAGCAAATACATGCGCGTGTAGTGTTAAGGTGGGGAATGTAGGGTAATTATAAAACTAAACAATAAGAGTTAGTTTAAGTCTGGTTAAGAAAATAATGTGTTTGCTTTATAGATTGTGGATAACAGGGAGAAGATCCCAATAAGCAAATAAAAGAAGGCTGTGAGAATAAGTAGAGTTACTTTTAGTGTGGGAAGGATGTGAAGCTCCAAAACTAACAAACAGCTTCCTGCTGTAACAAGACAAAGGAAAGTTTTTTTCAAAGAAACAAGCTTAAGCCATCCCACTGCTCTGCTGGCAAGCAAGGATGCAGGGAGAAGATAAGAAAGAAAGGCTTAGAGGAAGGAAAGTGGCAAGGATAAATTGCATCCAACTGGGTATTTGTTAAAGTTGTCTTGTTAGCTAAGGAGCATATAGAGAAGCATGAATCAAAAAATTCTTGGTCAGACCTTACCTGAGCATGCTGGAGCACACCCCAATGATGAGAACACACCCTAGGTCTGGCCTATTTGTAAGTATATTGATCACATGCTTATGATCTGTGACTGTATTGGGTCTAATGAGTGCCAGAGAGAGAAGCAGGAGGCAGAGGAGAGCTGAGAGAGAGAGAAAGGGGGACACAGTAGGAGGAGGAGAGAGAGAGAGAGAGAGACGGAGAGAGAGACCGGCGGCTCAGGAGAGAAGACCGACATGGAGGAGAGCCCTGAAAATCCCGTTTTATGACGGGCTAATTGGCTAGTCATATATATAGTAGCCCGAGTCTGTAACGCTGAAATGCTGGCTGTTCCCTCTAGGCGGCGCTGTTGCC